TATTTCTCAGCTTACTTTTGTTTTCTAACTTAGAAAATGTTTTTATTGATTTTAGAGAGGGGGAAAGGGGGAGATAGAAACATCAATGAGAGAGAAACATTGATCGGCTGCCTCCTGCACACCCCCTACTGAGGATTGAACCCGCAACCTGGGCATGTGCCCTGACTGGGAATCTAACCGGTGACCTCTTAGTTCATGGGTTGACACTCAACCACTGAGCCACCCTGGCCAGGCAGTTTTCTCACTTAAAAAAATTTTTTTTTAAAAAACTGATTTGAGAGAGAGAGAGAAAAGGAGAAGAGAAAAGTTGAATGTTTCTATGGCAACTGAAGGTAAAGCCAACCTACTTGCTGGCTGTGTGGCCTTGGGCAAGTCATTGAACCTCTCTGTGCCTCAGTCTCTTCAGCTGTCAAACAAGGATAATAACCGCGTCCACTTCCTAGAGGCTGTTATAAACTTTAAGGAATATTTGTGGAGCACTTGCACGAGGCCACAGGAAATACACGACCACTGCTTGTTAAATAAACGCAGCCAGCTCAGTATAGTTTCAAGAGGCCCTTGACACTCAGCCTCGAGGCAAGGCCAGCCAAGGGCACACGCCCAGCTCTCAAGGGGCAACTGCTGCCCAGCTCTCCCTGACCAGCCTTGACCTCAACACACCAAGCACAAGAACAGGTGACCCTAATGACAGGGCGCCCAGCAAAAGGCAGCCTGTGGGTGGGGCGTCCCAGGGACTTTTGGAAAGAAGCCATCCATCAGTGAACAGTGAAGGCCACTGTGTGACACACACACATCCACAACTCACACCCAAGGGTGCCACCTGCGGGGTGTGGGGGGGGTGCTCCCACCCGAGGGGCAGCACTACAGACTCAGGCGCGTGGGACTCCAGCAGATCACTGGGGCTTCCTCTGGCTGCTTCCAGGCGGGCGACCTTGTTCCTGAGCCTAAGTTCCTCCATCTATAAAATGGGCGGGTGTAAGCTGCCCTGCAGGGCCCCCTGTGAAGTTCCACGGAATGATTTTCTCCCCTAAGTCTTCGCAGGGCCGGGCGTGGAGGAGCCAAGCACAGGCGGTCGGCTGCCACTCCCGCGGCCCGCACAGCACTGTTTCCAACTGCACTCTCAGCACAATGGGTCAGGAGATTAAACGTCAAAATCCGGACAAAATCCGGACTAAAACGGACGTGGTGGGAGGACAGCTGGGTGGAGCTAAGGTGGGACGGCCCCTTCCCTCAGGTGCCAGGACCCTTCACCCACCTGGCCCCCAAAGGCAGGATATGGGACAAGGGGCCCCGAAGGCTCCGCCCCTTTCTAGCTGGGTCAGGAAAAAACACGCAGGCCAGTGAGCTACAGAGAGCAAAGTTAGGTGGGACCAAGAGGTGGGCTTTCTCCTTGAGGCAAGTGGGAGGCGTTGAGGGTCCCTCCATTGGGGAATGGCTCGGCTTAGGGGGGAGCTGGACGGAAATGGATCATCAGATAGTAAAAGGGCCTCGAAAAAGGCCGGATAAAAAGACCCAGAAGTTAAGCCTGAGACTTGGTGCGGAACTTGAAGGGATTGAGTGAAGGGGAGGGGACCCGGCCTGGGAGAATCTTCTCTCTGGCCATTCTTTCCCCTCTGTGCAAACCCCAATAGTGGCTCAACAAACAGTCCCTGGGTGTTAGAGTCAGCCCCTGAGGACAGGGGCGTGTCTGTCTGGTTCCCTCCTGTTTCCCCACAGCCTACACCAGGGGCTCCCAAGTAGCAGGTGCTCAATAAATACTGTCGACTGCTCTCAGAGCCGGTGCCACAGAAGTGCCAGCCAAATCAGGCGCTTGTCCTCCAGGAGTTGACATTCCAGTGGGGAAGACAAATATTGCACAGACAGTCATCACCAAGGATGTGGTTAAGACTGAAGTGGGGGAAGAACCCAGAGCAGGAGCTAACCCATCCGAGGGAAGCTGGGAGGGCTTCCTGGAGGAAAAGACCCGACTCCTTTCCAAGGGAAACTGAGCTCCAGGCCCTCAGAGCCCCACACCCCTCTCTGGGTCCTTGTGATTGCGAGACGCTTCCCTCTCTCTTCTAAGGGAGGCGGCCCTTGCACATCTGGGGTGGCGGCAGTCGGCTTCAGATTAAAAAACAAACCAATCCACTTTGAGCTCCGGTGGCTGCAAACTCCTCAGGTCATTTTCATCCCCGGCAGCCTGGCCCAGATGGCTACACGCCCTGACTAGGCTCTAAGATCCTGCAGCTATACGGCTCCCATTCTACGTTTCTAATTCTGAATGAATGACCAGGATGGCTCTGTCCCTGTGCATTCACAGCCTGTTTTTTAGGCATTTCCACTTCAGTAAAAGGTTTGGAGTCATCCCTGAGTCCCTCCTCTCTCTCACCCCATATGCAGTCCATCAGGAAACCTGTCAGCTCCATCTTCAAAACACATCTACATCTCCAGCCCTGGCCGGTTCGGCTCAGTGGATAGAGCATCGGCCTGCGGACTGAAGGGTCCCGGGTTTGGTTCCGGTCAAGGGCACATGCCCAGGTTGTGGGCTCGACCCCCAGTAGGAGGTGCGCAAGAGGCAGCTGATCAATGAGACTCATTCCCCACGGAGGATGGCAGTTGCCTCTCAGTCTGTGGCCACAAGCAGCCAGAGGGGTCATGTTAGACGCTACGGCAGATCCAGCCCCTCCTCTCTGCTCTGAGTTCTCCCATGGCTCTCTCTTCACTCAGAAAGGAGCTCCAGTCTTTACCAAGGTCACAGGTCCGCATGGTCTGTGCTCGTCCTCTTTCTGACCTGTCTCCCACCCTTTCCCCCTGGCTCACCCTGTTCCAGCCATACTGGCCTCCTCACTGCTCCTCAAACATGGCAGGCAAGTTCCACCTCAGGGTCGCTGCACTCGCTGTTCCCTGGCTCTG